TGCCACGATTTCGTGCTACACATATAAAGTATGTAAGAAGACACTCACTGACAGTTAGAAAGCGCGGGATTCTTATTACAACAGCCTTGAACTTTTTAAAGTTAATTAGTGAAAAACTAAATTGAAACATTACAGAGTGGCACATAAGTCCCCGCGTTGAGGCGGCAATTAAGCAGCAAAGCACTAAAGCGTGCATTGATTATATAGATTCACTATTGTATATGATTATAGTAATAATTAATAATATATTATAAATGTTATTATTATTATTTATTGCTTATTTGATTGATAGGATTTAACTAATTAAGAGTAGCGCTTCCCGTTGTACGGGTTAAAAGGTTAATTTTATGGAAGTAAATTAAAAACTACATCAATGCTAAAATTACAATGAATTTTTTTAAGCAGAAATTTTAAGAAATTATTAATAAGTAATTATTTCTCATGCTTATTCCACAATACTGAGGGAATGGACAACATATACGGTGCTGGCTATAATTATCCTGTGATCAATGAGTACAGTTCTGGAGTGTTGTCTGGAGTACATTGTCAATAAGTTTCTGATTATGGATGATTATAATGAAGTGTGGAGCAAGGGTCAGTGGCAGTTAAAGTATGTTAGACGCTCGTGACGCAATGAGTGCGTTCTTTCAATTAATTATTGAGGCGTCTCAGTACACTGGCGTTTTCCACATGCCATGGATCAGCTGGGTTGGCCAGTTTGCAGCAAACGCATAGATATAGTGGAAGAAAGTCTTTGAACACAATTTGATTGCTTTGTTGCTGGGTGCCTTGAACGTCGATACTTTGTCAACAATGTTGTCAACAGCGGGATTTCCATCTACGCAGTTTCAACGTTAATACGTTGTTGTTTAAACGTATTACGCTTAATTACGTTGTTTACACAGGTGTATGTTCTACAAATCAGTAAAGTCAACTTCCTGAGAAACATATAAAAGATGGTACAAATGATAAGCCACGACGTTTCAATTGTGTGGCTAAGAAATTAGTAAGGACTGTCCAATGTAGCTATTGTTATTTTTGAACTGTTGTTCATGTATTAGCAAGAGCACATTAGGGATTGCTTCAGGGTTTGTTTATTTTGTACTAATCTGGCAGTGTGAAACCTCTCACTTCTGACACTCCCATGTTGTGCCGAGATCTCCTGATTGACATTTAAAGGATTTATTGTTACATTGTGGACAACGTGTCCTTCCCATGCCACCGTGTGGTTGTTCGCGGCGCGATCTGCAACCTTTGCTTTAATTATGCAGAATTTTTATCCGAACTGGACTTGTGTACGTACATGTTTGTATCCACCCACTAAAATAACAAATATAGCTACTACACTGAATGAGATCGATGGAACTTTTTATTGTTGCAATGTTGTTCATTAGTAATTAATAGGCCCTACTCTACGTACCACCACCAGTATTTGGAATTTGAAATTGGGTTTTAAAACGCTTTGTATACATTTAAGCAGAACTTCTGAAATGTGCGGTAGCAAACCCCCTGACTACGCCCCTGCTAAAATGTGACTACCAAACACTCAACGAGACTTTAGCCATACCTCTGAATTTTCGTGTTGTGTTCGCTTTTCACAGTTTTTACAAGAAGCTTTTCTCCATCTGAAGGTTGGCCGTATTGTCACACTGAACGGACAATCCATTAGATAAGTGCTGAAATAGAAATAAGGTTAATGAGAATAAAGAAACGGTATACCGGAACGTACCCTGGTACTATCTAATATGCCGGACCGTACCTCGCCTACTTCACTAACAAGTCTAGGGATCGAGTCGCCTACGCCTACTCCCTAATCCTAACCCTAACCATATCAAATAGTGACCAGGGTACGTTCCGGCAGTACCCTGGGGGACATAGACCCTATGACTATGAGCCTTACTAGCCCTGTGCCAGGTTGTGGTGGGCGGGGCCACAGTAAAACTTTGAAAATTGAAAGATCTGTAGTCAACAGCTATGATATTATTTGGTAAATATTTAAACTTTAAGATAAATACACCTACATTTCAAACGTCAAAATTTGATAGATTTACATTGTGATGTCTAATGTGGTAAATTATTTATCTCTAACATAAGCCTACCTTTGGTTTGGACGTTTTCCTTTCGACTCAGAAACTGCTTTCGTCCTCCGTGCTTACACGGCTATATCAATTCTCAGTGTACGCTCAACTTGTCACTAAAATAACGATTAGGAGCACGCTTCCTTCCAGTTTTAAGCGTTCTACTGCTGCGGATGTACACATTAGTAAAACTGTTGTTTCATATTGCTTGATTGCATTGACAACTCTTCAAACGAGGAGAATTCCTGCCCAATTCTAGTTATATCTCCTAAGGCTGTGTCTCCTGCAACGGTACCGTCGCCGATGTTTTTTCTCTAAAGTCACGGTCAGCTGACGTACTGACGCCTGATTGGTTGAGCCTGTTTCTCGCGATATACATAGCACATCAAAATTTCAATTTCAATATGTCGCAGGCAGTGTAACGGTTAGACCGGCGGCGCCAAGTATGACAATGGTCGCAGCAGATCTGAATACATCCGTTTTCTAATTATTTTCCCTGTTTCTGTATTTTCTATCTTATCGTTTAAACGTTTTTTTCAATTAACGCAAATAATTTACATGATTTATTTACAACATTTTAATATAACAACATAAAAATTAATTTTATTAATTTAATAGGTTTAAGGGTAGGTTAGGTTAGGGTTAGGTTAGGGTTAGGGTAGAGGTACGGTTAGCGTTATCGTATATATCGTATAAAATCGTATATATAATATCGTACCAAAAGAACGAGTTTATTGATTCGCCGATAGATGCGCTGGCATTCCACTACCGTGACTTTAAGTAGGAAAAAAATCGGCACGTACCGTTGCAGCGAGACACAGCCATCTCCTAAGCCCTCAGGCCATGCAGCATCTCGTATTGACTTATTATTCCAGTTTCGCATGCATTATGCCGTTGCAACTTGGCACTTGCTCTGGGCGGCGGCTTTGCCATGATGGGATATGTCTGTAGGTATAGAAAAAAATAACAGTTCCTACGTCTCCGTAAGGATAGCCACGGCGTACATAAATATCAAGAGTAGATAAAAACTATGTTATTTATCTACTCTTGTAAAATCTCAATATACAGTCAAAGCTTGCATAAGTACTGATCATCGGATCAGCAGATCAATAGCGAGTTATGCGGCGGGTCGAATTTCTACGCAAGTTTAGAAAAATATTTATAAATCGTAATATGTAGCGGGTTCGACAAAAAATTTAGCAAGTCATAATTTTATACGAGTTGCACTACTATTAGATATACTAATGTTTATTGTGCTTGATTTATGGCCAGCAACTTCATTGGAATTTTGGGACGTCACACACTATAATAATGTTTTTTTTGCCTTAGCTGTCCAGCAATCTGTACATCTGTAGTTAAATAAGGTGGGTTAGCCGCTAGCTTTGGTCAGCAGGTGCGCAGCCGGAGTTAGAGGTGTTACAACGATGCGCAATCCAACGCGGTCAGTTGGAAAGATACAGGAAATCACGAATAGCCGCGATCGTATCGTCATCGCGATATAACCAGTTAAAATCGTAAAGTCTGCAGCGATTTCACTTGCAGAGAGCCTGATATACTAGCACACTTTTAAGGAAGTGAATATCGAACAATAGCGTTATTAACTTAGTTATTAGCCTCATTTTGACTTATTGAGGTATCGCCAGTAGTTTTCTGCGTTTCATGCAAGTCTAGATTATAAAAACAACTGCTTAGGTTATCATTGACACATTTATCGCTACAGAGCAGTATAATTATAACACGACAATGCCATGCAACGTTCAGCTGGTAAGTGTAAATAATCGTGAAGGCTAAGTGTCTGCTAGTACGGACGGTACCAGTATCTTGTACCAAGGTACTTGCTATATTTCGTATAGCACGCACTAGTATCACCGTGAATGCTCAATAAACATAATTACATAACTCGCTCAGCACACACAAAAAGAATAAACACCCATCTTACATATGGACGCATGGCAGCACACCGTACGCATGCACGCACGAACGCACACACGCCACACACGCTTTTACCGTGCGCACCATGTACAGTGTACACGCCACCAGCAGCATAACGTGGACCTGCAACACGCGGCACGCACGCACGCACTATTTCCTTAGTAGCTTGCTATATTTGGTAATCGGTTATGATATGGCTATTTTTTTTCATACTACAGTACTACTGCATGCATTGTTTTGTTTGTGAATATATTTGTGATACATCTGGTGATTGATATGTGATAGCGCTGTTTTTTTGGTATCGTCATGCTACCAATGCAAGTTTTATTATTTCCTTAGTAGCTTGCTATATTTTGGTAATCGGTTATGATATGGCTATTTTTTTTCATACTACAGTACTACTAATGCATGGTTTTGTTTGTAAATATATTTGTGATACATCTGGTAATTAATATGTGATAGCGCTGTTTTTTTGGTTATTATATATATATATATATATATATATATATATTATTTATAGATAATAAAGCATTTTACAAAGAAAAAACATTTCTGTACGTACATATATATTGGTCTGATTAGGCAAATACATTTTAACAGATTTTTGACATTTTTAGTGCCACTGTTGGTATATGCTGCGTCCCACCGAACAGTACAAATTTATTTATAGCAACGGTAGTTATTATTCGCCGATAGATTGGCGCTGGCCAATCACTACCGTGACTAAGAGAAAAAAACTTCGGACTGGGTACGCGTTGCAAAAGCCAACGTAGCTATTACTTCGGCGATAGATGGCGCTGCATCACTACGCGTGCTTAAGAGAAAAAAATTCGGGCGCCGACGGTAACGCTTGCAGCGAGACACAGCCATTTTAATTAATATTGCTGTCATGGCTTATGTCAGGCCTGCAGGCCTATGGACGGCCTCTACTATATAGCAAGCACCTATATCCGACCAACTATTTCTATATTCACTATCTCGCCCCTGAGACCTACGAGGAGGCTAAATATAACAGGAGAGAAGCGATTGGCTGTTGTGCTTTTCGCCGGCAAGCGACGCCGATTCTATGGGACCAGAATGCAGCTGAAAGCCTGAAACGGCTGTGCCAGACCCAGACTGGCACGCACGTATACGCCGACACGCGGTACACGCACAGCTACACGCAGATACACGCGGTACACGCAATCCCATCATGCAAAGCGCCGCGGACAAGTGCCAAGTTGCCAACCATAATGCACAGCGATGCATATACGACTGTCATGGCTAGTGCGTTGTGATATACCGTAACTAGCAGGAATTCTCCTCGTTTGAAGAGTTGTCGAATGCAATCAAGCAATATGAAACCAACAGTTTCACTAATGTGTACATCCGCAGCAGTAGAACGCTTAAAACTGGAAGGAAGCGTGCTCCTAATCGTTATTTTAGTGACAAGTTGAGGTACACTGAAATTGATATAGCCTGTAAGCACGGAGGACGAAAGGCAGTTTCTGAGTCGAAAGGAAAACGTCCAAACCAAAGGTAGGCTTATGTTAGAGATAAATAATTTACCCAATTCAGACATCACAAATGTTAGGTGTACTTTATCTTAAAAGTTTAAATATTTACCAATAATATCATAGCTCTTGACTACAGATCTTCAATTTTCAAAGTTTACTGTGCCCCGCCCACCACAGCCTGGCACAGGGCTAGTAATGCTCATACTCATAGGGTCTATGTCCCCCAGGGTACTGCCGGAACGTACCCTGGTCACTATTTGATATGGTTAGGGTTAGGATTAGGGAGTAGGCGTAGGCGACTCGATCCCTAGACTCGTTAGTGAAGTAGGCGAGGTACGGTACGGCATATTAGATAGTACCAGGGTACGTTCCGGTATACCGTTTCTTTATTCTCATTAACCTTATTTCTATTTCAGCACTTATCTAATGGATTGTCCGTTCAGTGTGACAATACGGCCAACTTCAGATGGAGAAAAGCTTCTTGTGAAAACTGTGAAAAGCGAACACAACCACGAAAATTCAGAGGTATGCTAAAGTCTCGTTGAGTGTTTCGGTGTCACATTTTAGCAGGGGCGTAGTCAGGGGGGTTTGCTACCGCACATGTTCAGAAGTTCTGCTTAAATGTATACAAACAGTTTTAAACCCAATTTCAAATTCCAAATACTGGTGGTGGTACGTAGAGTAGGGCTATTAATTAACTAATGAACAACATTGGCAACAATAAAAAGTTCCATCGATCCTCATTCAGTGTAGTAGCTATATTGTTATTTTAGTGGGTGGATACAAACATGTACGTACACAAGTCCAGTTCGGATAACAAATTCTGCATAATTAAAGCAAAGGTTGCAGATCGCGCCCCGAACAAACCACACGGTGCATGGGAAGGACACGTTGTCACAATGTAACAATAAATCCTTTAAATGGTCCAATCAGGAGACTCTGCACAAACATGAGTGTCAGAAGTGAGAGGTTTCACACTGCCAGATTAGTACAAAATAAACAAACCCTGGAACATCCCTAATTGCCTGCTCTTCTAATCACAATGAAAACCAGTTCCCAGAAAATAACAATAGCTACATTTGGACAGTCACTTTACTAATTTCTTAGCCACACAATTGAAACGTCTGGGCTTAGTCATTAGTACCATCTTTTATATGTTCTCAGGAAGTTGACTTTACTGATTTTGTAGAAACATACAGCTGTGTAAACAACGTATTAACGTAATACGTTTAAACAACAACGTATTAACTTTGAACTGCGTAGATGGAAATCCCGCTTTGACAAAGTTGTTGACAAGTATCGACGTTCAACCCCAGCACAAGCAATCAAATTGTGTTCAAATGACTTTCTTCCATATATCTATGCGTTGCTGCAACTGGCCAACCAGTGATCCCATGGATGTGAAAACGCCAGTGTACTGAGACGCCTCAATAATTACATGAGAACCACTATTGGTCAAGAGCGTCTAACATACTTTAACTGCACTGACCCTTCTCCACATTCATTATAATCATCCAATAGATCAGAAACTATTGACATGTACTCCAGACAACACTCCAGACTGTACTCATTGATCACAGGATAATTATCCAGCACACGTATATGTGTCATTCCCTCAGTATTGTGAGAATAACATGAGAAATAATTACTTATTAATAATTTCTTAAAATTTCTTGCTAAATCATTAATTTAGCATTGTGTAGTTTTTATTTACTTCCATAAAATTAACCGTTTTAACCGTACAAGGGACAGCTACTTAATTAGTTAAATCCTATCAATCAATAACAATAAATAATAATAATAACATTTATAATATATTATTAAATTATTAACTATAATAATATAAATAATAATCTATATAATCAATGCCACCCTTTAGGTGCTTTGTGCTTAATTGCGCTCACGCGGGGGACTTTGCTGCCACTTCTTATGTTTCAATTTAGTTTTTAAACTAAATTAACTTTAAAAAGTTTCAAGGCTGTTGTAATAAGAATCCCCCGCTTTCTAACTGTTCAGTGAGTTCTTCTTTACATACTTTATATGTGTAGCACGAAATCGTGCAGTGTAATTATGGCAAATGTAAATCCATAATCTAAACATTTAACTGGTGGCAATAGTTTAAATTAAGTAATAATTCACATTTTATGTGAGCAACAAATAACATTGTTTTATAAAATATATTTTTATATTTTTTATAAAGGCTTCCTTCATGCATTTGCCAAAACAACGGCGACTTGATGGTGAGCTAATGGAGAGCACATGCCAGATGCTGCATATGAAGGCAAACAAAAAAATTCTACAAGACCATATACATAACGTCTCAGGCAAGAAAGTCCTGCTGAAAGACCTTCACAATATTGGCACATCAAACCGACCACATCACGAAAACAACTTTGAGAATCTTCTGGCGGAAATGCAAAAATATAAAGGTTAGTACATATCCAGTATTCTGATGCTTTGTTGATAGAACTGTAATAACTAATATGGTGGCCCAGGCCCATTTCTAATTTCAAACTTAATTTTCAATTTCAAACTCAATTTCCAATTTTTGTTGCACATTCCCCTAAACAAGACCCTATCTGGCGCATTTCATACAGCTGTTAATCCCCCTCGCATACGAATCGAGTTTGAAATTGGAAATTGAGATTGAAATTAGAAATTGAGTTTGAAACTGGAAATACCATAGGTGGCACTCCTGGGCCACCATACTGTAACGAAACACGTACCACCCGAAACCAATCCGATCTCGATAATAGCTTCTTGATTGATTCCCAAAAATATTGAAACTTCATCCTATTCTGTATATTTTCATGATTTTGCAATAAAATCTATTTTAACCAACTATTACATTTTTGATTTTTCTTAATTTTACATATATCACTTTAAGCAGATAATTAAAATTACAACAGTAATAGGTCAAATGACGCAGAAATGATGAGAAATAGAATTTATCGAAATTATACCCTGATGGATCAAGTTTAAGCTTTTCAAGCCTTTCACAACAATTCTCATTACTTGATATTCTACATAATCTAATGAAAAACATTTTTTATTTTGCAGATGCCACAGTAGAAGTTTGCATAGATGAGAACAGCGTTCTGCAAGCCATCTACTTCCAGACGAGAGAGATGCAGCAGTCGTTCGAAGCCTATCCAGAGTTGCTCTTTCTGGATGCAACGTATAAATTAAACGACTTGCGAATGCCATTATACGTGCTTATGACTGAGGATGGCAATGGGGAAAGCGAGATAGTTTGTCTATGGCTAGTTGTGAGAGAAGACCACGTCACTATACAAAAAATGGTAGAAATTTTTAAGCAGGCAAATCCAAGTTGGGACATGGTTGAAGTCATCATGAGTGACAAGGACATGGTAGAGAGAGATGTCCTGAGAGAACAATTTCCGGATGCCACAATGCAGATATGTTTGTTTCACACACTGAAAAGTATGAGGCGTGAGATAAGTGCAGAAAAGCTCGGCATATCTCAGGCAGAACGAAATACAGCACTCGAGATATTGCAGCGGATCGTTTATGCGAAGACAGAAGCTGAATATGATGCACTGTATAACCAGTTGAAGGCAACTTCACCAAAGTCAGTTGTTGACTACTTCAATAAAAACTGGCACGCGATCAGAAAAGAATGGGCTGATGGGTTAAAAAATGGCGTGTGTCATTTTCAAAATCGCACCAACAATCGCCTGGAAAGCACAAACCAAAAAATTAAAAGTGTAGTCAGTAGATACTCTGGAATCAAGCAATTTTTCATTGACTTGATGAAATGCATAAAATGTCTCAAGACTGAACGAGACCACCGAGCTCTAGATGCAGTGATGAAAACACCACTTGTGGGGCAAGAGCAGGAACCAGTGTCAGCTGCGCAGCAATATCAAAAACTTTTGACACCATATGCATTTGCTTTTGTTCAGAAGCAATTGAAATTACAAGACAAATGCACGATTAGCAAAAATGTTGAAGATGGTGTGGAGTTTACTAGGCAGTCAGGAAGTATATGTGTAAAAATAGATTACTGCCCTTGTGGCCTTCAAGCAGCCATGAAGCTTCCTTGTTGCCATGTTTTGGCTGCCAGACAACACAAAGGAGTGCCAGTGTACTGTGAAGATCTATGTGCAAATAGATGGAGGCTGGACTACTTTAAGGGCAGGCAGCGTGTGTTCAGTGCATTCGAGGACGACACTGCTGAGGACACAACTAGTAATGGTGCAGCTTGCCACCAGCTGCCTCGCAGGACTGGACGAATCTTGACTGAGCAGGAAAAGTATCGTGAAGGCTCTTCTGTTGCACAAGATCTGGCTCAGCAGCTATCCAGCTTTGGATCTGATGATTTCAGATATAACCTTGGTGTGCTAAAGGTTATAAACCAAATGTGGAGAGAAGGAAAGAAGATAGCTGTGGCAGAGTTCAGCTGTACCAATGCAGGTAATGTGAAACAATATGGTCTTTGCACCAAGTGCTTCAAAAACTAAAATATAAAGTAACCGCAGTGTTATTATATTCTCGTAGTGATGGGAATCGCTTGGTATTTTATCATCGATCATCGCTTAGACCCAACCAATCAATGATCACAGATAATTGGTTGAATGTCATTGATCGCGGCTACCAGATATTGAAATATATCTATATTAAACAATACTCTAAAAGCTATGTAACAGTATAATACTTGCTTGCTTATGTTTGGTGTAGGTTAGATTTACTGTATCCAAGCTGTAACGTAACTAAAATAAAAATATAAAAGTCATTTCATCAGTGTTTGCAAATTTTAATTAAATGTTTAATTTAAAATTTTTTTTGATAATTGATTATTTATTTTTATAATCCAGCTCTTCGCCAGGTGCTGCGAACGAATGACTGACTTTTGATTATAATCGATCATCGGGACATTACTAATTATTCAGTGCATTTGCTTGCAGAATGTTATGATGATAACAACAGCAACAATGCTACGGAGTCTGACCATCGTAGAGAACCAGGACCAGGAAATGGTGGAGTTGATCTTGGAACTCCAAATTTAGAGTTTGATTGCAGTAATGAAGGTATATAGATTATGTAACATTGTGTTCATGTAAAAATGCATATATTTAACATTAAACAACAGAGTAACAGCTTGTTCTTATCAAAGAGAAACATGAATTAATTATTTTATTATTATTTAAACACGCTGAGAAAAGTAATCATTGATCTCTGTTTGAAAGTTTTATTAATTTGTTTAATCAGAAAGGCATTCAAATGTTTTCATATTTTATATGCTCAGGTTCAGCTTCAGGACTGGATAAAACCAACAACAGCAACACAGAGATTGTGACACAAAGTGATGAAGTTCCTTTTGAAAATGATGGTAAAAAAAGCAACAATTCCATAAAAAAGTACCATTCATTCATACAGTGTTGTGTAAAATGCCAACACCGTCACACTTTACCTTTAATAATCAATTATATATACTATATATAGCATATATCATCAACATGGGTACTGCGTGTAATCTCCACTTTGAAGCATGGCAATTCTAATAGATACCAGCTGTCATCTGCACTAATGAGGTGGTCCAATTAATTTATACATTTACATCGAAATAAGCCCAGCTTTTCCTATCATATCTTCGGTTAACAAATAATATTTGGTTATGTAAAGAATGCGGGCCTGTAAAATCCCTTTCCTACAGACCTGGCTGGCCTGTGAATTATCAAACTAATTTCTACCCCTCCTAATGGTTCGTTTCTTATTTGTTTTTGCAGGTCTGAACATCAGGTGCATAAAAATGCCACCAAAAATGCTGAAAAGAGGGCGGCCAAAGGGAGCTGGATTGACGACCATTGGCATCCCAAAAAAAAATGGGTCAAGTAAAAAGCCTGCCTCATTTGTCAAGAAGTCAGGGTTGGAAAAAGAGAAAAGTACGTTATTTTTTTAGCTCATCTGACATAGTCGTGCAAATAGTTGTTGCTACTACGTACGATGGGAGCTTCCATCTTTAATCTGAAGACACTTAAACGTACGCGCCATCTCGTGGCAACTTTCATAACGATCCCAACGAACATTCCTTTGAGAAGGTTCCTGATACCATCCCTGTGCATTCCTCTGTTTCGGCGTGTATGTGAACACATTTCGGGCACTAACAGGGTGTTCACAGAAATCCCCACCACTCCACCACAGAGTCACCGCAGTAGACGTTAGATGAGCGCTGTCGCTCCGCGGCACTTGTTCAATTATATAGGTTAAAATAAATCTAGAATGTGTTTGTTTTTTTGGAGGGATATAAGAATTTTTAGGGAGTTTGAGAACTTACACTTGTGATTTTGCTAGATAGAAGCATAATAAATGTTTGTTAATTTGGAGTGACATAAACAGATTACATACAAAATTTCCCTTTCAGCGTGTGGCATGTATATGTGGATTGTACTAATTCTCTTTTGTAGTTTTATTTTGTCATTAAATTAATTAACACTTTTTTTCAGTTATTCTCTCATGGTTTGTAGAAGACAACATAGTAGAGAAGGCTGTTCACGATGAGCAGCTTATAGAAGAAAACCATGTAGAATGTCGTCCCGAAAAAATCCATGAAGGCTGCCTTGACAAGAGCGTAGACTTATACATGGTTCGACATCATTTTAGTACAGATGCTTGGCATCTTGTAATGCAAGTATTCCAACTGAAACAGCAGGTGCATGAATGGGTATGCAAAGTTTGCCAGCATGACTTGTCAGAATGTGAATCAATCATGTGTGATTGTTGCTTGCAATGGTACCATATTAAGTGTGTTGGTTTGAAGGCTGTACCGAAGGCAAAGCATTGGATGTGTCGCTTCTGCTATCGGCATTAGGTCATTGTATCCCCCGAACGAGTTCGAGGGATACTATGGATTTGGCCTCGTCGCGCCTTCTCTACCTGTGCCAGTAGAGAAGTTTTACTTTTCGTTTTGTTTAAAATTGTACATTTGCTGTAATAT